ATGCATGTGTGCACGCTGGGGTAATACAAATGTCCAAGCTCTTCGCAATGTTAATGAACCATTTACTGCACGAGTAGGGTCTCTCTAATATACCAAAAATTGAATGTTAACGCTGTACACAGAATAACGGGAGCCCCACTGAGCAGAGAGGATCTGCACTCACGCATAAAAATTGTAATCACAGAGCAAAGTAATTTCACTGAAATGCCATGTTACCTTTGTCAGCCTGAGGTGTGAAACCAGGGAAGTCAATGTTGGGAACAGGCAGTGTGCGCATTTGTTTCACAGAAAGTAAAACAAAGGGACATTCGACATTTCTATAACTGTTTGGTATACTCATAAATAGAGGAGGTAGAAAGTTGTTGCCCTTTTCCCAAATAAAAAATGCCAATGGGGTCTGCCACACAGCTGGTGAAGAAAAACTTTGCCTCTTGCTTTTGCTTTCAAAATCCTCTATTGGTGAATCACAATACTGCATTGATCTGGAGACTGCAGGTGGGGCCAGTTTGACAGAGGTGTGGGCTGTCCCACTTGTTTTAAGGTGCTTGTGAAATAGAGGTTAAAGCAGATAAAAAACACCCAATACCACATGCTGTGCAGATGGCGGTCTGGAGCACTGGTGCCTTTTTCATACCAATTTAAGCCCTGGCTAATAGTATTGAAAGCATGAGTAGTCTTGTCATGTCTCTGTTGCTCTTCTCTTCACCTCTAAATGAGCGACCACTTTTTACGCAAATAGCCTCCCAATATTCTTAATCCTGTTTAATATCTAATGTCAATGACCAAGGAGGCTTTTTCGTGAACAGAATTACAGAACGCCAAATAACTGTACTCTCAGTAATGTTTTAAAATGCATAGCTTGTGTGCTCATTAATGATGTATAGAGACAGCAAATCCTCCATGCTAAATGCTATAATAGGCCTAACTCATTCTTGATCTTCTGGATAACCCTTCCTTGAAGATTAATATATTTTTGTATTTTTAATTATCATGAGGATCAAATTTGTGTTTAACTCAAATGATCACCCTGACATTGTGTAAAACATTTTGATGAGCCTCAGATACAGAAGCAGGCCGTAATGTAGTCAATAATCTTGTGAATGCCTGACCAACCACGCTTAGCTGAAATGCTCTCACCCTCAACTACAAGAATGGGTGAGTCATTAAGTGCAAGAGGACTGACCTTCTCTCATAACCTTTGAATGCTGAATAAATAAACATTATCGTCCCTCACGAGGGGTGGTTAGAATACAATCAGCAGCAGAAAAACATCCAATGTTTTATCCCAAATTTGCATTACCAGCACTATCAGCTGATTTTCATACATAAGTAAGCAGTATGGAACACTACAAGTGCAAAGTACCCAAGGTTGATAGTATATTCAGTGGGTTGATTTATACTGCTTGTAGTTAGCTATCTAGCAGATAGAAATCCGGTTAAAGACAATTCAAATTGTCTAAATTGGAGGTAAAATGTTTCAGAGTTGCGGCGCTGGAATGCTAGATAATATTTCCCTCCAACGATTTGCCATTGTTTATTTCTGTATCAGGGCATGTTTGTAGTGGAACAGGCAGCTACTGCAACGGTAGCTAACACAGTAGCTTTCGCAGCTAACAAGCGAATGTTAGCCACCAGCACAGTCAGGCTGTCTTCATTAGCCTGTGAATGGCATTGCCCCATGATAAACTTATCTTTAATTGAAAAGAATGAAAAGATGAACATTTAATTTGTATTTATTATATGGTTCCAAGCATTTTTTTTATTTATATTCAGCAGTGCTTAGAAGTAGTGATTAAACGGCCGATAACCTATCAGGTCACGCAATGATAACCGAGCCATCTCCTTGACAACAGAGACAGTGTCTTCCCCTGATAAATTTCTTCCTCTGTGAGATGCTGTTGAAAGCTCTGGAAAAAGCTTCTAAGTGGACCCTGTCAAACTGCTGATAACTGTGTTTAAGATGTGGCGAAGTCTGTCTGTCTAAATCTGACTCAACTTTCAAATTTAAAACAATGTAAACATGTAAAATATAATTACAGCATTTGTAAGGTTTATTCAGTTCATAAATTTCTTCCAACAAACAAATTCTTGTTCTTGTTCTTGTCGGTCACACTGCTCTAAAATTTAACCAAAACAGTCATATGTTCCATAATACATTAACTAGTTTGTGTAGTTGCAGACATAAGAGTTTTTCCACCTTTATGCACCCCTTTTACATGGGCCACAAGAATGATTTCATTCTAAATCTGACGCAATCAGAATAAAAAGCTACAATCATTACTGAAAACACCTGAAAAAATATCCCCTATTAAACGATAACCACAATGAAATATATAGCAATGGCATAATGAGCACTAGAATGGGCTTCTCATTCACCTTACCAGTTTCCAGAGTGGAGCTGGACCTGGCATTCTCTCCCATACACAAAGACAAAATGAGAACGGCACGAATTGGGGCCACAGGCACAAGTTTTGAGTCAGTTTTATGGCTGCTCAGCATTTCTCTATATAAGCAGCCCCACAGCCCCACAACAAAGCTAAATGTAGTCCATTTGTGTCCAGGGGGAAGCTTATGAACTACCGCATGAGGATACCAGTGAGCTCGGAGGACAGACAAGGTGCAAGATGGTTTGAGAGAGATAAGTGGAGGCTGGATCTTGTGTGTGTGTGTGTGTGTGTGTGTGTGTGTGTGTGTGTGTGTGTGTTTAAGAAACAACTGTGAGAATATACCTCTTCACAGACCACCACAAAAAGATAATACATGAAGTACTCCCATTTATTCATAATTTTTGCACTAGCTGGGATGAATGTAAGATGCAAATGCAAACCCCCCAGGCAGTAGAAATGCAATTAAGGTAAGCTACCCTGCTAGCAAGGTTAGTGCTGCCGGTAGTGAAGTGCCAGGTAGCACCTCCAACACAGCTTCCCTCAGGACTACCACTCTGCCGTCTGCGCAATGAACCAGCGACCCTTAGCACACACCTCCCTTCCCAACACAGCCACTGGTGATAAATTACCTAATCCCCCTATCCCCAGCCGTTTCTATTATACACCCTGGGCTTCTAAAGAACAGCTTGGAGGAGAGAAAGGGTGTCGAGAAGAGAAAACGAGAGGTGGGTGTGTAGCAGGAAAAAAAAGACTTATTGACAGAACCACAATGACAGTGGGAAGATATATAGGCCAAACAAAGGCAGGAATCAGCAACCATAATCTTCAGTATGAAAAGGACCTGCGTGTCATTTTTGATGTTAAAAAAGGGGCACTCAGAACCACTTAACGCTTGTATTTCTAGACAATTTTGTCTGACAAAATCCATCTCAAGAGCGATCAACACATAGGTGTCAGTTTCTTAAAGTGTATTATTTCAGACATATTACAAACATTTTATGAATGGGCCACTCACAAAGTCTTTTTCTGATGTTAATGTGGTATTTATGTGCATTTTATGAATCTCTTATACAGATGAATGTGATGCCACCACTGAACATGCACATCTCGGGCATCATTTCAGCTGAGCAGAGAAGCAGCTACAAGGGACAATGACATCAATGCTCAAACCCTCCCAGAGGAATGCTTGTCGTCACTCACACTGGCGCAAACACACACACACACACACACACACACACACACACACACACACACACACACACACACACACACACACACACACACACACACTGCTATGGAAACAGCAGGAGTGTGAGCGCGGATCAGGGTTAAAGGGATACCGCAAGGCGCACACACACACACACACACACAAATACACAAGCAGAAAGAAATAACTGAAAAACAAAGCAACAGGGACAGCCCATTGAAAACAGTGCTGACACATGACCAAACTGTCCCTGACCAGCTGTGTTCACATTTTCCTCTTTAAAAAAGCCCTACAGAGGTCAACTGAGGACTAAACGACTCTCTGTCATTGCAGAGGGAAAGTTAGCCAACAGCTTTTCCTTGTGAATGTGAGAGGGGAAACAACAGCAGACCTGAGCTTACTGAGCTTGATCTCGGGAAGTGTATGAGAGATATGCGGTTTCAAAGCAGAGTGCTGCCAAAGCCAAGATGGAACGTATCCTATCAGACAGCTCACTATGCCAGCTGACTGCTATGGAAACAGCGAGGGTGTGAGAGTATGTGTGTGCCAGAAGTTGAAAGGACATGACAACCCATGGGCACACATGCTAATGCTGCCATCCATGCTTGTGCATGTACACATGCATGCGCGCAAAAACAGACATCTGTTACCTATCTATATGTTAAACTGAGTGTAAAAAAAAGTTGGAAAAGGGCAAACAGAGCAGCTGCAGCGGGCGCACACACACACACACACACACACACACACACACACACACACACACACACACACACACACACACACACACACACACACACACACACACACACACACACACACACACACACACACACACACACACACACACACACAGGACAGCATTCTACAGACTGGGCAGCCATTCAAACTGCTCTCGGTAACAGTAACCCACGGCAACCCTAAAACCAGCCCCCTTTCCCTTCCTCCTCAAGAGACACAGATCCATTGCCCAGTTAAGGGAGAACAGAATGAACTAGCAGACAGAGTGCCCGAGAGTGAAAGGAGCTTGTAACTTTACCCACTCTGCCCCTACTAAAGTGCAGCACTACTAACCCCCCCCTTAAAGGTTCAGGAGGTTAATTATTCAACATGAGAGGGGATTTGTGGGAGAACTGAGAGTGGACACAAGCCAGCAAAAAAACCCTCACCTCTTTCGTTCAACTCATCCACTCACTGACTTTCACTTCTTCCCATGGATAGAGGCATGAGCGGACGCTTTTTCAACTCACTCTTGGACATCATCCATTACACGCAGAAACACATGTTCACAAAGATACACTCAGGCGCACACATCGCAAAGGCTACTACACACATCTGCATCAGAGTTCATGTTTGCAGCTTCTTAGCACACAGAAAGTCTCACTCCACTCTCCGAGCGGCTCTCCTACCGTTGTGGTTGTGCTGCAGGGTCTCCAGCATGCTGGCAGAGTCGGTTGCCCCCAGCTCGGCCAGTCTGCGGCTGGTGGCGCTCAGCTCTGACCTTAGGTTGGTCACCTCCTGGCTGGCGGACTGAATGGCCCCATCGATGCGCTGGGCCAACTGCTTGTTGTCATCCATCATTTTCAGGATTTTTGCCTGAGGAGGAGAGGGGAATCCAGACAAGGTGTCATGCTGACAAGTTGACCATTTCCTGTGAGGGAAGGTGTCCCCAAATAAATCCCTCCTCTTTGCCTTATTTATCTGTTCTCGCTCCTTTTTGATGAGAAAGCCAAGTTAAATCCTCAAAGCAGTTTGTCCTTTCCCTTAAAGAGAGGCATCCGGCTCAGGGGAAACGTGTATCTGTTGGGAGGAGTGTACGCTTTAGAGATGTTGTTTATGTGGTGTGCGTGTGTCAGTGTGCGAGCATGTCTGTGTGTGTGCCTGTGTGTGCGCCTGAGAGTTCTGTAAGAGCACAAGAGTGCGTGTGTGTGTCTGTGTGTGTGTGTGTTAGAGAGCCAGCACTGCCCCTGTGAAATGTGCTCCCTGCAGCTGACTGTTGAAAGGACACAGAGCACTGAGAGATGACAAGCACCTTTTTAAATGGACTGTACCATTTGCAAAGAAAGCCGAGGGGGTGGGGGACTGAACGAGACCATATGAGCACATGGAAGTCAGAGGTCCTCAGCACAGCTGTCTTTTGGAGATACTGCTGTGAGGTTCTGGGATTGTGTGTTTGACTGAACTGACACTAGAAATTTCACTAAGGCTTTGAAAATGGAAGTGAGTGAAACACTGCAGCTTTTCCTCTTTCTCTCTCTCTTTCTGTATACTGCCTGCACCTCCCTCCACGGACTCATGGACAAAGGGACGCAAATCATTAGTTTGACAAACAAGCAGTTGTGGGGAGAAAACAATAATAGTTATGCAAACAAAGCTTTTATCACAGTATCACAGTGAGGTATTCCTCCTGCGAGCAAATGCGTTTTTAAAGCTCTGCTGTAATATTTGAGAAAAGTTGAACTAAACAGCTTGGATTACTCGTCCGGCAATAGCTAAGGAAGGTGCAGGCATTCAAGTGTGCGCTGGGATCTAGCAGTGATGCAATTCCATTAAAATTATACATTTTGTGGTCCATAAACAACAATGTTAAAGTGATAATCATTTAGCAGAAACCAAACCAAAAATGAACATTTGCTTGTTCCAGTCTCTCAAATGTGAGGAAAATGGTTTATAGAGGAAATGTTATATATTTGGGGATAAAACATGCAATTCATTGTGGGTTCTGGGCAATTGTGATGGGCATTTTTCACTTTTTTTCTGACGTTTTCTAGACTAAATGATTAATAAAATGTAAAGAAAACATTAAACGTTCATTTATATTAACAGATAATGGACCACAAATAGTTGCTGGTTGCAGCCCAGAGCATAATGATCAAATGCTCATTATTATACAAAGATTAGATAAATCTTTTTTTTCTTTTTCAAATTCAGCAAATATCTCCTCACCGCTCCGCTAGCTGACTGCCCCGGCTCTTAAATTGGAAACAAACAAAGTGGAACGAACAAAGCCACACAAACACTACATTTTTATTCCAGCCATTCCAGCCAGGATTTGTGTGTCAGGTAACGTTCAATCACTTGCCCGCAGACATTCAGCTCACTTTCTAGTTTGCCGAGACATGCTGTTGTTGTGATGTTAGCTCTAGGAGCTGGAGACTTGTGAGTATCGATGTCTGGAGCCGGTGTGCTGGCTCTGGGAAACCGTCTCGTCCTTTCTTCATGTTAGCTGTGCAGCAGCAACTGTAGCAGCAGTTTTGCTTACCCACAACCTACCTAACGTTTGGTAGAATACTTGCTCGGTCACTGTTCACACCATATCATGGTATTTATCATGGTATTGGATTTCTCCAGAACTGCATAGCCCACTTTTAAGCAGGGGAATTTGAGAGTGCAAGTATGCGCTTTTTCCACATTCAAGCTGGGAAAGGGGAGAATGTTGCTCACTCATTTTTCCTAACCGGACTTTCCCAGTCAGGGTTGTGAATTGGAACCATTTTTCTAAACTTACAGATGACTGCCACACCTCAAAAGGCCCTGCATTATGTGATCAGCAAAGCAACATAAATGCATCTTTCAGTATGTCTATATCTATGTATGCTTTTCTTCTCCTTTCTTTATAGAAGAGTACAAAGCTACAGGTAAAGGCAGCAGACACAGTGACTGCCACCTGTTTACAGATAAGGCTAATCAGTCACAGCGAATGAAACATTAATGCTTCTTTCTGCCCGTTGCAGCACCACAGAGGGGTATTGCTGAAAGTATCTGCAGCAGGGTGTGAAAACTGTTGCTTTTATTGTAGTTGATGCATCGCAGGCCAATGACATTACTTCCAAATGTCAAATATACCCCAGAAATCAAATAAGAAACAGATGGATACTAGAAGCTTACTGGATAGTCGCTCGACACAGAGCGCAGAGCTGATAGAGAATTAACATGTTTGTCAATATAGACATCAGATATGAACAGGAGGATACTGCATTTCTTTTCTTGGGAATATTGATGTGTTTGAGCCACACAATAACATATTTCCACATTCCAATCAGAATTTAACAATAAGGGTCTAAATGAGTCTGGTGGCAGATGTGCGGGGTGTTGCTTATGTTACCAGGGAGACAACAATGTCAATCAAATCTGATCCAATCACACCCACACAGTCCAGAAGCTGAGTTAGAGCATGCATTAAATATTAACTAAGGATGTTTTTTTTTCCTAACATTGACTTTAAATGTCGCTTAAATAGAATATTTATGAGTGAATATTTAATGTTAAATCATAATACTTAAAAATGGGCAGACAGCCAAAATGGGTATATGTGATGACATATAATGTGAAAATGGTCTCATTAAGTGGCAAACCCATTTTTATTTATCATCTGATTCTGCAGGTCACCTCAACTCTATGAAACGTTTGGCCTATTTTCATCAAACTTGAATGTTTTCAGTAATCAGCCTATTTATAGTGGAAAAGTTCTGAGCGACCCATTGAACGTCCAGCACATAGTAGGAACTAGTAGCAAAAAATGCACAGGTGAAAAAAAACAGGACATGTGGTGAAACAAAGAAATCCCCCAAGAAATATTGAGTGGAAAAAAGTACGTATGTTACAAGTCAAGGGAGAAAGCACTTCCAGGTCATTGCTTCAGGTTCTCTTAGACAATTAAAAAAGTCTGCTAAGTCTGGCTCTGTCGTGTTATTACAACATAGGACCCTTGCTAATAGACGTGCTGCTCGGTTGGGAAGCAGTGGCACTCGTGTGTGTGTCAGTGCCAGCATTCCTGGAAGTTGAGCCCATGTAGAAAGATGTTTTAGCATATTGCTGGTGAAGCCACGCTCTGAACAGATTCCCTTCAGCTCTTTGGACTTCTCTCCCCTTCCGCGTAGACGCTTAAGTTTGACATCATTGTTCTACGGCACACAACTGTCAGAAAAACCTTTTACCGGCATCGATGAAAGGAACTGACGAGCACAGAGACATACAATTTTGACGGATTGGACAATTTGGAACCACTTCTCAGCTCGAACCCGTTCTCAATTCCCATCCTTACACAGAAGTACTTTTCAATATATTTATTGAGGGAAAGCAAACTTTTTTTTTTAACCCATCTATTTTTTCTCTCACCCATGTGTTTTTTGTTTCTCCCCCATGTTCCCAAAGGGCCTCTATAAAAAAAACATAGCTAAAGGGAGAGTGAATAATGGACTTACATGTGCCATGTTGCCAGAGACACAACTACTAAATAATGCTACTGTTACATCTGCTGGATGTGTAAATAAACTGCAATATAAATAATGTGATAATATATTAATGTTGTGTTTACAGCCTACTGTTCTCTCATGTTTCCCCAAAAAAGCAATTAATGCAGGTTTAAGACATGAAACCCAGTATTAAGTTTTCAACAAAAGGAGTTCAAGAGCGGAAATTCTTCCCCTGCACAAACCAGAGGGTCAGCTACAAATCATTTCCATGGAGCTGGGAGAGATTAAGTGTCTGGTGGTTAAAGGACACTTACAGGGCAGGGGGCTTGAACTCAGGACTTCTAGCTGACAACTGTGTAACTGATAAATACACAATACTGCTACTTCATTGAATGCTAGAGGAAAAAGTTGTATAGGACATTACACAGAAACAAAAATCCAGTCTTAGGGCGCAAGATGTCTTGACAGTATAGACTCTAATTGTTAGTTGTAAAAAATAAGCATGTGTAATTAAATATTTGTTATAGTTGTCTCTGGGTTCGCAGGGTGGAGGAAAACTGCCCCAGTTCCCACCAACACCCCCACTCAATCCTGCATTCCTCTGCTATAATCTGTCAAAGCATGCCCACTCACTCAGCAGTACAGCTGTGTTGTTATTGTTTCCTAAGGTTATGTGAACTTAGACCCCAACCCATCCCGCATGTGGCAAGCACGGATCATCACACCACGCTGCACAAGCCAGGGTAGCAAACAACTGCTGTGTACTCCAAGAAAATGTTACTGTAGACCCTCAGGCACTCTGCGAGTATGTGTGTGGGCCAAATATTGAGGTCTCAAATAAAACCTAACTGACCGCCTGCTAAAGTATGCAAGCAAGGGGATGGGGATCACCACACACACACACACACACACACTCCACCCGTTCATCCATCTGCCCAGACACAAGTCACCCCTCCCGCTCAGTAAATGAACATCATGTTGTTATTTATAGACGACCCTGCTGCCGCATATGATACATTAGTCACAGGGCAGAGCAGGCACAGACACACACATACTGTACGCTCATTCACACACACACACGTACACTAGGGGGCTAATAATCCCAAAGTCATTTGATGTTCATTAATGAAATTCATCTCTTGTCAGGTGTCATAAAAGTCTGTCGGGCCCTTGTGGGTAATTAGGATGCTGTGTTGTCTAAGTTTGTAAGAGGATGTTTGTCTTTCCTCAGGACTATGTATCCTGTCAGTAAACCCGCATACTGTATACTGGTATACATCTGCCTACAGCTAGGGGTTTAGTATGGGGTGGCTGTTAAGCAGGTGACACTAACTGGGAGTCAGATATATAGTTTCCATATTTTTAGGTTTTTGCTTATCAAAGAAAGCAGAATGTTACAAA